AGTAGTTCCTGCTGTCCTTCGGCAACTAACCCCCAGTTACCATCACTGGTGTTTTCTCATGGGAACTGCACCACCGTGAGATTCATCAACACATCTCTCTCTGCTAGCCCTGACTTAAGAGTATCAAAGCCTGTATAAGGTCTAGTCAACCCAAGCTGATGAACAAATGCCAACATGATGCACCAACTGCTGGACCCAGCCATCAACAGCAACAGTTATAAACCCAAACCCTTTCTGAGCCATTCAGCTGAGGCACCAGGTGTCTAACACTTATCTCTGATGCTGAAGGAGGGCAAAGACACAGGATTTCCCTCAAGGACCTTCTCTTGGGTCCTGTTATCCCATGTAGGCTGGACTTTCTCCAAGTCCAAAGGAACGAGCATTTATCAAAACTAGGCTAGGCTTGGCTGACTGTGGCCAGGCAGCAGCCGTAAGAGGTCCAAAGAGGTTTCAGTACGATTTGTTGCATATTCTCTTCAACAGCCACCATTTCTCTAAAAGACACTTTTTTCTCGTTCTTTTCAGGCACGTTTTGCCGACAGGCAGAAAGTCAGCGTAAGCTCTGTGTCTCATGGAAGTCTCACTCCTGCTGTCAGGCTGAACACTATTATGTAGAGCTCACGATGATAAACACTTTGGTACTCCCACACCTCTAAGATTAAGTCATTGCCCAAGTGTTTCGTAGCTGTGATAAAAATCTAAGAATTCAATTATTCAAAAGAGAAAATTAAAGGTGCATTATCTGATAGGCTAAAGCAATGGTGCTGCTTTCTGTTTTTAAAAGCAACGTTCAGGCAATGATTAAAGTAGGCGACAATAAAACCATCACATTCACAAAATACTAGTGTTAGCCTTGGGGATATGCTGAAGGATCGGGCTGTAACCAAGGCAACCCCATCTTCTGGAGAAAGTTTAAGTAGACAGTTTTAAAGCCATGGTTCAAAGATACAGTAAATCTGGCTGTAGGGCTACTTGTGCCACAGCCACCTGACACAAAGCACTGATCTTGTAATAACTCAACCTCCAGTTGTCCAAACGTCTCATTGGATCAACCACCAGGTGCCCTCCTGTAGTTGCCGTATGGGTGTTGCAGGAGCCATTTCATGTGTTCTGGGTAATTTAACAGGAATTTGACTGTGCCCACATCCTACCCTGATCAAATCTGTATGACTGGGTGATACAGAATCAGTCTGGTATTAATGGCTATAGACCTGGCTATGTCATATACATGGCTTATGTCAGAAACTTCAATATTTTGCTAAATTAGAACCTGATCCTGGACCCTCCTGGACCCCGTCTGGCCACAGAAACCATGGGATCAGGCCCTACTTGCCAACAAATGTTAGACAAAGCCAAAGGAGCATAAACTCTGCAGACTCCAACAGAAATGTTTGTGTCATCTTCCAATTCTGAAATGAACAGTTTGGACATTATCACAGCCACAGACGATGTGAATTTTTATCATGGCTAAGAAGTGCACCTTTAGAAAAGCAAGGTCTCTTTGGCAAAAAGACTCCTTCTTTGGAACAGATAAAACAGGCTCTATTATAAATATGTGACAAATATTGTGATGGAGCAATATCCCAGTGGTTCTTAATTGCAGTGCAATTGAGATAAGTCCACCAGCATTTCCTAATTAAATCCTGAAGCATCAGAGGGGAGATTTCCATACACATGTGGGTGATGAGAGCCTCTGTGATGTATATACATTTATGCAATATCTTCTGAATAAATTTATAGCCATTTTAGAAGCCAAACCACACACATTACAGAAAATAAAGAAGAGTGTTTTGGATGCTCCCTCCTTCCAACAGGCAGATGGCTTTGGTGTTTCAGGGGTGAAAACAAAAGCATTACAGTACCTTTGCCCAGATGCATAAGGTCTAGAAATTACCACAGTACCTCAAATGTCAACACTGCTCCATTTTTGTCAAATATCTTCCATCCATGGAGTATTTAATACTTGAAAAGTTTGGCTCTCACCTCCCTGCACGCCAGCCTAACTCGCCACAGCACCCTAACAACACAGAGGATTCACATCTACATCTCCTGGCTGGCCCTCAGCTTTGAAACGGGCTGACATCCCAAACCTACATACCAGCAAACTTTTCTGGAAATAGAAGACAGAACTCCAAAAATCAGTAGTTTGGGCCAATCTGTGATTAGTTTAATTCCCATAACGTCGCCGGGAAGTTGGAAAGAAACCCTCTTGTGCAGAGGGCAGAAGACAAGAAGCCATTTGACTTGCTCCAAGTCCAGCCTATGGCACGGCCAGAAAAAGCCCAAAGGCTCTGGACTTTGGTCCTCCTTAGTCTATGTCACATTCCACAAGAAGGCACAAGAGCTCATCTTCATCAGCTACCCCAGTGTTATTCAGGAGAATCTCACCAGCCACTTGATTTAACACTAACAGGGAGAAGGAAGCTCAGAGCTACGTTTGCTGCCTGACGAATGGCTCATTCTGCACCCGAGCGCATCGCGTCCTCCCCTATGCTTGCGGAGATGTCAAATCCTCCACTGGGATACAACGGTGTCAGCAATCCCAGCTGTGACTTCCTGTGTTTTTGTAGGGTTGGTTCAAACTGGATTTGCTCAATAGTTGTGAGGGTTTTTTGCCTGGTGGTGGTGCAGACTGCATGTCAAGAAGCGAGCTCAGAGGTACCTTACGTGCCACGGTTCAGGGAGCAGGAGCCCAGATGGAATCTGGCAGGAGTCAGGGTGCACAAAAATCTGTTTACGTCTGAGGCACTAAAATTCTTGAAGGCCAGGGAAGAAATCTAGTATAAAAAGGCAAACTGCTTCAGCACAGCCACTATGGTGGAGAACGATTTCTTTTGCTTAATGATGCCACCCTTCTACAAAGAAGGATTCATTCCGAGCTGTGAATTTTGGGAATCTTCCCTGACACGGGTGGAGTATGCCAACAGAGAAACCACGTAAGGAACAGAGGTTTCAGGCTGGTATTTCTGTGTTTGAATTTACTGCATACAGGTAAAGCTATTAAATTTCACAGTGCTCTTCCATAAAGGTTAGTGCTAGACTGAAAGGAAACGCACCATTTGCAGGAACTGCAGTGAGTATCTCAGTCTTTCTTCTTTGTTTCCTATTGGTCTAGCTCATCTAACTTTTCTTTTCAGCATTAGTGGGTATAATTATATCAAGCTTCTGTTTTAGAGCATCAAGATAAAAGCGCCACATTCTTATTGTTTTTCAGTGGGTGCTTGAAAGAAATCCTTACAACTTACTCTTGCAAAATGCCAGTTTGTCACTTATGTGGTCAATCAGCCTGCAACTGTTTCAGTTCTGCTTCTTAATTTGTTAAGTGCAAAGAAAGGTATTTTCTTTGATTACATCTGCAAATAAGATATTAATGTCAATTCAGTGATATGAAAATTACTCCCTCACTATGTAATTTGCACCTTAGTTATTATGGGTTTCATGAACAAGAATATTATAGCTACTCAGAGTGCTGTGGATTTCTAAATTTTTTTTTTTTTAATTAACCAAACTAAAAAGAAAAACCCACCAACCTGAAAAAAAAAATTATCTGTGCCCAGCTTTTATTTACCTTGGCACATGTATTGATTCTGGACTGAAGATGAAAATGCTGCTGCTGGCCCAGCACTCTTCTGCAGTGACACTTCACCAGAGAGAACTTACAAGTGGCTGGGATGAAAATGAAAGAGGAAAAAAATGCTTACTTTTTGGAATGGCATAGAGAAGGGTTTAATACCTCCTTTAGCTTTCTCAAGATAAAATCTGAACAGCAGCACATATTTAGGAGGATCCTTTTTGCTGAAGCAAGATCCTTAATTTTTTAAATGAGAACTCCAGATCACGCACATGAACATCAGAGACATGTATATCCCAAGGCCTGATTCAATCCCTGTTAGAGCTGAAGGAAAATCCTCCCATTGCAATAAACAGGAGATGGAACAAGACTCTATTGCTTAAATGTCACCCAGAAACCAACCCTGCCAGCGGTCCCACCAGGATGGGGTATGTGAGAGAGTGGCAGAAGATTTTTTTTTGAGCATCGCTTTGCACTGCAGTTCTAGGAAGTAAATTATTTTTTTTTTTTAACCACTGGGATTTTAAAAATGTGTTTCCAGCCCCACATCCTTAAAAGACCTTTCTCAACGGACACGATTGGCTTATACTTCTGGTAAATCAAAGGTACGCTGTGTGTGTGTGTGTGTAGTGTACAGTGTGTGCAAGCTCACGTCTTCCTGTGATTGCTCATATCTTGTGAATTGGAAGCATCACTACTGAATAAATTTATGCAATAGCAAAATATAATTTCAGAAGAAAAAAAGAAAAAAACCCTATTGAACTGGAAGGGAATGGAGACAAGTAAGGGCCCAAGACAAAAGATAGAGAAAACCACTCTGTGTCCAAGGATACAAGGTCACCTCTGCACTCTCAGGTGCAGCACAGCTGAAGCTGCATCGTTTGTGTTGTGATGAGAAGAGCGCTGTGTCTGCTCTCACACCTTCTAGGGCAGTGGAGCTGCTTCTGCTGGTGATCCAGATCCTATTAAAGGCAAAGGGAAGCTCCCCATGACTTCAATGAGAGCTGGTCAGGTTCTCAAAATAACTTGGGAGAAAGAACTAGCTCAGTCATTTTTCACCTTCAACCCTCATGTACTTCTTAGGAGTATTGGACACAGAGGTATCGTCAGGACCATGTTCAGATCTCCTTCTACAGGCACATAACTCAGGTGCTGTGACCACTGATCTCCATCAGCTGCAGAGAGCGCAGGTTGGCTGACTCACTCGCTGCCCTCCTGAAAAGCCACATCTAAATCAGGTGCCTGTCACAGGCAGTCTGAACATGGCCTCTCAAAATGCCCTCTTGTTCCAAGGCCTTCCAGTTTTACTTTTAAAAAAAAAACAAAAACAAAAAAAACCAGAGATTCAGACCCTAGGCTGGAAAGAAATAATGCAAAGCTTGTGCAATTATCCCCCAACGGGCATCCTGGATAGGGTCACAGTTGATACTCAGAGATCAGTGCTGGCCTTGGCAGTCAGAGCCTGGATCCGAGCAGAGTTGCAGGTCTTGCAAAGGATGTGCCCGTCCAGAGGGTAACAGCCCTGATTGTCCCCTTCAGACAGGAGGCCGCCACAGTCCTAGGAAATAACCACACAGAAAGAGCAAAGTAAATAAGAAAGAAGAACAAGATTACCCGAAGAATCTATTAGTCGAAGAAACTCTCTCCTCACTCTCTGCCTTGTAACAGGATCCAGCCTGAGTCAGCGTAAAGCACGAAGCTGAGGGACGTGATATCTTTCATGATTAAGCCATTTCCTGATAAGAGACAACGCTGCAGAGAAGATGGGTTCCCAAGCTCTCTGCTGAATTTAATCCAATTGAAAATAAAAGGAGATTATTCCCTTCACATTTCTGAGGAAGGAAAGGTCTTCAGCATTGGAGAAAACATCAAACTTTAGCACATATTTATTAATGCAAAAAAAAGGATAAAAATAAAAATAAAGCATCACTGGGAAGGAAGTTTGGTACTAAGATCTGACTACAGTTCATCTCCTTTGGAAGAGTTAATGCCACAAAGCCATAGCATCTGTTCCAGGGGTGACAGCTAAGCACGCACCCCTGCCTGTCTGCCCTTACCTGTGTTTGTACTGCAACTGGCCCGAAAGGCTGTGCCTGGAAGAAGGATGTCACTGAGACAGGCACATGGAAACCCCACTAAAAGGCCCCAAACCTGTTCCAGAGACCTCAGCTTCTAAGTATATAAGGCTGAGGACAGCGGCTAGGCAAGCTGGGAATTATCTGTCGCTGTGTGATCACACAATGAGTTGGCCAGAGACTGCTAACGGAGCGGTGGCGAGGGGATTATGGCTTGCTCAGAGGTCATCAGAGATCTGCGTGTGTAAATACACCTGGCAAGCAATGGGTGGAAAGGGGAATATCCTTCTTGTTCCTTTTGAGACAGTTGAGGCACGTGGAGATCAAGGCCAAGGGAGTGTCTGTGTCCTGTGCTCTCCACTGCACCTACTCCTGACATTCCCGTGTGTGCAGCCTAGCTATCTCAGCAGCCAGCGTGGGGACATGCTGTATGACAAAATTTAGTGTAGGAATGCTCCACCGTCTTTAAAAAAAGCTGGGCCTAAGTAACGGGCTGAAAGCCGAAGTCAGATTGAGAAGTGAACCAGATGCCTCAAGTCTCAGCCTAAACTTTTAAGCCTTAGTCCATCCTTCTTTCCAGTTAAAGTTATTAAAACCTGAAACTGCAAAAAGAAATACATTTGGTGTCATTTTCTTACCCTGCCAACTGGCTGATGTATTATCCAACAAGTAACGCTTGCATTGAAGAATTCTTGAAGGTTCCCTAACACAGCTGTTCCCACATGTTAATTGCTTTAAGGTGATTTTTCTTCTCTGTCTTCAGACTCTTACCATCAAAATTACACAAAGTGCATAATGAAACTGCACAGGAAAGTAGCACAAAAAGCATTGCACAAAACAAGAATTATCATGTTTATGTGTCCATTAAAATTCTTCAACCCAGAGCCATATGTTGAGTTTCCTGTACAATCTTGCTCAAATTCTAACATGCAGTAGCTTTCATTTTAAGAACATAAACATGAGCAACATTTGTGTCCAAGCTGTAATTTATGATGTTCTCAAATATTAAGCCCTAATTGCCTGAGTCACATTCTCTTGCTCTCCTAATGAACCTGCTGTAAAGAAGGGACCTGCTTTTCTTCTCATTTGCACTGATATAAATGAGGAAAAATTCCTTGCATGCTGAAGTCAACGAAGTAATTGGACTGTAGAGCCAGTGTTACAACAGGGTATGCCTGTCGTGTGTATAACATGCGGCAGAGATGAAATGAAGCCAACCTTCGCTTTCCGTCCTTCACGTGATTAGAATACTGACCTCACACCGGTAGCACTGGACATGGAAGTCACGATCCAAGGCGACAATGCGTACGGTCTCCTCTTGTCCTGGGGCTGGCATGATGGGCTCCTTACACACCGAACATCTCGGAGCAAACTTCCTGAAGGAAGAAGAGCCAGTCCCAGTCAGCCTCAGAGCACAAGTTTGTCGTAATTGCACCAGCTGTGTGCATTTGTACAAACACACACATGGATACCCATACGTCACGGTTTGCAGTTTTGCACAGCTGCCTCCTTGGAAAGAAGGCAGAAAGGAGCACTTTAGTCTTACAATGCAATTTTGGGAATGCAGGAAATTAAAGAGCATTTTGCAGGCTATTAGGAGAGGACTTCAAGAATATCTGACAGGCAGCAAAGCACATTCTTCTTGCCCTAATTAACAGCTAAAGGGCCGGTCGAATGACCTGTGACTGTGACACCTACACACTGCCACAACCATCAGGCTCAACCCCCAGCCTAACTCTAAGAAAGACCATGAGATTCCTAAGGTTAGAAACATGACTAAGATCCACTTCGAGAGCATCTCTTGAAAAAAAAAAATCAAAATACTAAAAATTGGACGTTGGAACAAATCGGCAAAAGTCTTAATAGAGATGGTAAAAAGATACCTTGCACTATGCTGATTTGCTGAGGTTTATCCCATCCATTTCCCTCCCATGCACACAGGAGCACACTCCTGGCTGTGCTCACTCGCAAATAAGACGCATCAGGGCAATTCTGATTAGCTGCATTTTCTAGCTGAAACCAGCTCTCGGTTATCCATTAGAGGGTTGCCCAGGCTTAGAAGGGAACAGGTCTGGGTACAGAGACACCAGCGCTCTCTCTTCCACAGTCAGCCTGAGTTGCATAATGACAGTCCCTCACTGTGGGAAGGGACTGGCTTGAATCAGGGTCAGCAGGAGCACGGACCTTCCTTTTTCCCTTTACATTGCCCACCGTAAGCCCTTCTGGCTAATTCACGTATGTTCTGTATTCACTCCCCCACCACCCATGAGAAGTGGCCATCTCTGCTCCTAGGCAGGTGGGGATGCTCGAGAACATTTAGACTGTTTTGGTTCAAACATTTGCTGTTTTGGTTCAAAGCCTAAGGGTATCAAATCCCTTGCTGCAAATCTGCTCACAGAAAAAGAAACGTGTACCTACAGAATCTGCTGCCACATCAAGAGAGCCAGGGTCACAGGCTGTGGAGCAACAGAGGGCAATACTTATGGGAACATCAGAACACGGGGAGACCAAAGGTCCTTGTCTTCTGAAATGCCTACAAAAGATTGACTCTGCCACCCAGGCTGTCACATGAACCACCTCAGAATTAACTAGCTTACAAAAGAAAAAAAAATCTATCTGTACTAGGAATAAAGAAAAATATTAATTTCACTGGCAGCAGATGAAAGATGTCTGTGTAGCTGCGATCTAACGAAAAAATGAATTAAGCAGTGGCTATAGCAAGCGCTCTGAAAAATAACTTAAATGGATCATGATATGACCGGAGCTGTAATCGCAGTTAATTATATGCTGCTTCATGCAGGCACTTCCTTGTGCCATTTCGCTCAAATGCGGTGCTTAAAAACACTCTACCAGTTCTCTGTCCAGGCCACTGTGGGTAATTCATTATGAGCCAAATATTAACTCCCAGGACCTAGAGATGACTCCTGCAGATTTCAGGGGAGATGGATGTGCTACTGTGGGGCCCATGCTCGGGGGGTAGCTAAGGGACAGCGCGAGCATCAGGTACAGTTGTGTTATCAAGAGGATGTACAGGATGCAGAGCACTTGACCTCCGGACCAGAAGGACGTGTCATCCCTGATCAACAAAACCCGGGCTGGCCGAAGTGCTGATAGATGCGTGGTTGACCAAAGAGACTCTGAGTGTCACATTAGGTCTTTGCTATTCTCATCACCTTCCCCTCAATCTTTCACTCAACAATTCTGTGTCCTTTCCTTGGATTGACAGCCTCCCACTACCCACTCGCAGAGCCCTGAAGTCCAGATCCAGTTGCTGCCGAAAGACTCCAACATGGGCCATCAGCTCTTGCTCCCAACCTTCCTCCTGAACACGTTGAACCCTTGCCCGGTGGAGCTTGGGGAAGAACAGGCTCCAAATTATAAGTGGGTGTGAGGGAAACCCTTCAGGAGCCTTCTGTTGAGTGCTCAGGACCAAATTTTACCTTACACACAAGCACAGCAAGACAGCAGCTGCCAGTTAACCCAGCCCGTCTGAGCTATGGGGGATTTTAACACGCCAGCTGATCGCGGCTGCTTTACTCTCTGCCAAGCCAGCCTGCTTCTTTGAGCTTTCAGGCCCACACACTGATGTCACGAGGCTCTAATTAAGTCTACCCCCTTAGAAATTAAGAGATAAATGGTTGAGATGTAAACGCACATTTGTCAGTATTGATTTCCTCTTTTAATTGAGGGGTGTAATGTGTCTGTCTTTTCCATCCAGGGGAAACGTGTGCTCTGATTATATCTACCTGTCTTCCCTAGATTAGTGGTGATGATGGGGGTGGCAGCACAGCAGTGACAGAAACTACTTGCAACTACACCTTTCAACTTACTTTAAGTAGCAGTTTCACTATAAATTATTACCAGGGCTGTATTTTTAGCAGCTTTAAAAAGCTAATTAGCAACTAGAAGCACGAGGAGCTGCAAGCATCGTGTGGTCACCTAGATCCCTCTAGCTGGTAAGCAAACACACGAGGAGCTGCAAGCATCGTGTGACCACCTAGATCCCTCTAGCTGGTAAGCAAACACCTGCAGAGTGCAGCAGTACAGGACCTCTCCTAATTGCTCGGTGGAAGAAGGGGGGAGATGCCACCGTGGAAGCACAGGTACAGGCAAGCGAGGAGGAATGTACACACACTGAGTACAGGGGGAATGCAGAGTATTTAAAACAGAGGAGCACAAAGGTTATCCATAAATTCAGATGTAAGCAAAACCGAGATTAAGCAGCACCAGCCCCATACCAATGAATGTTGTATGCCATGGTGTGCCTGCTTGGAGCAAAGCTCTGCCCTAAGAGCCCTAGGAGGTAGTGGCTGAGGGTTCAGATCTTTTTGGATGCTCAGAATTAAAAAGGAGGATTTTTAAGGACAAAAGAGAAAAACAATAAGCAAAGCCACTGAGAGCAGCTTGGGCCATACTTATGGAAATCCTCGATGCAGTGGATGTTCCCACCAGCATCCACAGTGAAGGGGATCCCATCCAGGCTGCGATGGCACATCACGCAGGTGAAGCAGTGCGGATGGTAAGCCTTCCCGGTGGCTCGGAGGATCCTTTCCATGATGGGTTTTGCGCAGACGCTGCATTGCTCCAACGTGTTCTGCAAAAAAAAAAAAACATACACAAGAGATGTGAGCACCATCTCAGCAGGACATCTATAAAGGTCAGGTGGGTTGGAGGCTGCTGCTGGTCTACTTAGAAGCTTTGGGTACTTTCATTTCTTCTAGATAAGCACAGCACAGCCAACAAAGGGCATGGTAACAGCACAGGGCCTGGGTCAGGTCTTTAGCATAGTGTGAGAACACCAACCAGAGGCTTCTCTCAGCAGCTGTGACAAACAATCAGAGCTGGCCCATCAGGTGGGTGTATCCGAGACACTGCAGCTCCTGTAGCCAAGAGCATACGAAGCAGCTCCCCAGCCTGCACTCCCAGGTTTCTGCCGTCGGACTGCCCAGTCTGAACGACCTTCTGTAGCTGAGCTGATTAGAGACAATCTCCACAATGTGCTGAAGCTCAAACTCCTGGGGCTACAGAGACCCCCTAACTGCTCTGCTAATGCAGCTCCCGTAAAGGATCTTTATCTGTCTTGGAAGAAAATCTTGATCTTCCTCTCCCACCACAGAGACTACTGGTGAGTCTGGGGAGAGAACAAAGGAGTGTCTGCAATGAAAGCAGCAGAAGGACAGGAGTTCAGGATGACTTAAACTGTTCATTTATTTCTATCCCACGATGCTTGAGATACAGACTCTGAAATGCCAGCTCTAAGGCCATGCTCCTTACCACGCAGGTTTTACCTACTGGCCTGCTCCTGGAGCCCTGGGGCCAGAACCCCCACCTTTCAAGTGGGGGCCATTGAATGATCCATCTCACGTCAACCCTCACTCGCCCGTGTGGTCAGTTGTAGAAACACCAACATCATTTTGGTTCAGAGGGTTGTCTGTGAGGCACACCAGCCCTTCTGACACCAACTCTGCAACTTACTCTTTCCAACCAAGCACCTTAAAGACACATGCCATGAGCTGAGGGTGCGTTCCATGTAGATGCAAATAAAAAAAATCTGTGGCAATGATTTGGGTCATTTCACTGAGCTGGAGGAAAGCAAACTTCACTTACTACTCTTGCTTGATGCATCTGGGGTTATCAAATAATTTTATCAACCAGTGTTTGAATCTTGGATGAGGCAGAAAGTCTACAATCATATTGATTATAATTAAGACAGATGGAAATAAAGAGGGGGGGAAAAAATGAAAGACAAAAATCTAATGGGACAGAATATAAAAAGCTGCTGGAAGGCAGATCATGTTGACAAACACAGGAAGGCTAAAGTTCTTCTGCTTCCTCATGCAACAAAATTCCCAGGGAAAGCAGTGCTTTGACTGACCACATTGTTATTGCTTCTTTAAGCCAAAGTTCTCAGGGGCAAGATCCAGCCCTTACATGTGCAGCCAAATGTATTGTCGGGAGATGAATCACCAAGGAGCTCAGAGAGGTTACTTCTAAACTCACATATTTGCTATCAGACATTATCTCTGGGCTGCAAATCACTGGTAAGATATAAGCATAGAAATAGAGAGGTTCATATCAGAAGATCAAAAGGATTGGTTTTGGAAAAAATCAATATGAAAAGTCCCGAATTTCACCCCATATGAGAACTGCCTAACACATTTGTAAAGAGAGCACAGCCAGACTAGCGTTGGTTTCAGACTGGATTTTGCTTTATGCCTTATAATAATGGGCAGGAAAGAATTATTGCTGGCCTTTGTGTCTGGTTGCTGTCATCGTCATCATCATTATAACAGTAGCTGGTATGCCAGAAAAAGCAAGGTCAATAATTTTCTCCTTGGAGGAATAACCTGGCAAATTTACCATTTTGCTTTGCATAAGCAGATCACATCATCTCAGTCCGTATCCATGCTGGTCTCTGCATTGCCAAGGAAGGAAAGCAGCGTACCTGCAGACACCGACGGAAGATTGCACCACTCGTAAGGCATCTTCTGTGACAACTTCTGCATGGGCACAGGAGCGTTTGCCTCACCAACTCACTGCTTGCTTCATTTCCAACAGTTGCTAACAACGGAGGCCAAGGTATGAGAACAGAGCAAGGGGAACACAGCAACTCCTTAGGATATGCTCCCAGCCTCTAGTGACTTGTGGCTTAGGGACCTCCTGAGCCAGAGCTCCATGTCTCTGTACTCAGCCTCAACTGGATGTTTCTCCCATGAACCTTCCTGATCACTTTGAATTCTGAAAAACATTGAGCACCCACAACACGGCCAGGAGTTTCACGGCTTACCTACACGTTGGGGGCTGATCTGCTGAGCAGTTCCCCTGGTTTGCTGGCGCAGCCTCTGTACCAGTGCTCCAGCCAGCACCACCGAGCACAGCCCACCTGGCACTGGGAACGGAGCAGAAACCTGCGGCTGCAATCCACCCTGCAGCGGATTTAGCACCAAACAGCGTGGCCGGGAAATGCTCGCACTGCGGATCCCATACAGCTCTTACTCACACACTTCAGATACACAGAGTTTAAGACTCCAAGGGATCACTGCAATCATCTTGGCTGACATCTTGCATTATCGTGGACTTTGGTGGGAGCTTTGCAGGGACCAGGACAGCAGGAAGTCACACTTCTGGATTATGCCTTCAGAAAACGCACATCTTCTGCTCCCAAACCTCAGCTCAGTCCCACTGTCTGACGTCCTCACAGCTAAGTAAGACAAGCATTTTAAATTAACCAACTCCTGATTAAGCCTTCTATACAATGTGAAAATCAGACCTGAGAAATTTATTCTTTTCATCCTTCCTAGTCTGTACCAGCAAAGAAAAACAAAGTCATTAGTTTCAGACTCCAGTTCACTCCCTGTCTGGGAGTATATTTGCTTAAGCCTCTTTCCTTGCTAGAAACCTGGCTCAGACCCTTCTCTTCAAGGTGTTACCAGAAGATGCCAGAGGGAAAGCTTCCTTGATTCACACCCATTTGACATCAGGTTGCTCTAAGGCAGGATTTGGCCTGTGGAGCTAACAGGGTTTTCTTTGATTCCCTAATCAGGTTACCCCACATGCCTAAGTGCTGCCCCAGCAGCTAACAACCTGCACAAAGGTATTTCTCCACATTATGGGAACAGCATCCCTGCAGGATTATAAGTTTGGCTTCTTGATTTTGCTTTCTTTCACTGTTTAGCTAACTCTCCTAGCACCTCCTGGAGCTTTCAGACCTTCAGAAAGCCAAACAAGATGAAGAAAAAAAACCTAACAGCCCTGTTTTTCTTCTTTTCTTCCAAGCTGCCGTTGCCAGCCCTCTCTGTAATCAACAGGTAAAGCCGAGTGCATCTGAGCTACACAGTGGTCCAAAGCAAGGCACAGAGAAGAAAGAAAAGAACCAGCTACGAAACATCAGACCTAGGAGCTGGGGTCAAATTCACATCATAAGAATATGGACCGCAAATCCAGCATGGGCGGAGGGGAAAGTTTTCCATCCTTTTCCCATATTTTTGGCTAAAAGGCAGGAGTACTACTCTTTTTTTGAGACACTCGTGTCTCCAAAATCCCACTAATTTTGGGGGTTTGAAAGGGGTGGGGAAGAATCTCACCTGGGGAGAATAAAGTACCCCAATGTACCAGTCAGAAAAATAACCCCAAAGGCACACTAAAACACAAGTAGGGAACTGAAATGACCAGGACATCAAGCATCATCTTGCAAATTAAGAGAATTAACTGTGTACAGCACCATCAGCAGCAAAGTGGGAACAAGCTGCTTGGGAACAAGTATCTGACAGCAAGTGGTGGGGGAAGTTGTTTGAGGGCCTCCCTATAGCAATACTTGGCCCTTCAGAAACCACGAAACCAAAGGGAGTTGCTCTGCAGATGTCAGGTTTAAACATAGGACACGGAGTGAAAATCCAAACTGCTGGGAGAGACTTCTGGGGTACAAGAGCCATTGAAGACTTGAAGTGGGAAGTGTGTGAATCCCCTTCTGAAAACTTCACATCCCAGATGGAAAGCGGTCAAAAGGCTTCAGGGAGCAGAGCTGGAGTGACAACCTGGGGGCTGCAGCTCATCCTGCTTCTCTAATGGTGTGGATTATAGAATCAAGAATGGTTTGGGTTGGAAGGGACCTTGAGATCATCCAGTCCCACCCCCTGCCATGGGCAGGGACCCCTCCCACCAGCCCAGGTTGCCCAAAGCCTCATCCAGCCTGGCCTTGAACCCCTCCAGGGATGGGGCATCCACAGCTTCTCTGGGCACCCTGTACACCTTACAACCCCTCATAACCAAATTTTGGGTGCCAGCAGTAACTCACTATACAGTGCCTAGCCATGAAGGCAGAAGAAAAGCCACACAGAGGTTAGTCCTTGCTTCTCCTGCATTGGCAATTCATCCGGAGCTGTAATGAACACAAGCAATCTCTACTGCGCTATGAACAGCAGATGGAGGAGAGCTCACACATGGGAACACGAGCATGGTGTAGCTCATTGTGCTGGAAGAAGGAAGCTGCAGGAGTAAATGACATTGGCAACTCATACGCAGGGCCACAAACTCACTTTCTGCGAGTGCTGCAGAAGAAACACATTTTTCGTAGTGACTGCATAGAGGAGATGGTATTAGCTACGGGAATCAAAACTGACTGTTGTGCTAAAAACAGGCACACGGTCAGCTACTGCAGCTGAACTGTAACTTAGTAAAGTGCGGTGAGTGAATTGCTTAAAGTCTTGTGACTCCGTCCTTCATTTCCTCTGACTGCGAGGGAGCAGAGCAGGAGACATTTTCCCCATTGTGGGATAATTTTTGAGGCTTGAAAATGTTTCCATACTTAACTGAAGACAGAACACTTTACTCTCAAGAAGTCTGGTGAATTTATAAACCCCAAATTAGATCAGGTCAATTGAAACACTGCACTTCATGTAATTTCAAATGGTTTCATTTAGGTTTTGGGTCTGAAAATATATAGTTAAATGATAAATTAAATATAAAGCAGACATTGGTGGAGGGGTTAAGTGTCAAGATGCAATGTCAACACTTTCAAAACCTTTTTTTTTGGCATTATTTCTCCAAAAGGAAAATCCAAGCCCCCCCCACCCCCCAAAATCCCCAGCCAACCCC